ATCTTGAATTCAGCACATTCACTACAGTAATCTGAAAAATTATTTTTGCAAAGACATGATCAGAATTAGAGATGTGAACCTAGATTTACTTTCAATTTAATCGATGTCTAAATTAGATTATCCGTAATTGATATTTAAAATAAATTAACAGGAAAAAGACATTTCTAATCAGAGTAAGAAAAACAAAGTGTTGTATCATAATTTTTGCTTACGTCTCTGTGACGTCAGAGTAAGATAACAACTAGGAAGAACTGTGTTCTTCTTGTGCAATATTTTTTTCTTTCCTTCCAAAAAAAACCAAGAAAACGCAAACAAGTAAAAACAATAACGTGACACATTATTCTTTTGCAATAACTTGCTTATATAAATGAATACGAAATGTGCGATGAGACATTTTTCTACAATTTGAAAAAGAGGCATGTGTGCTTGTGCTAACAGATCCTTCTGTCCTCCAACAGACCGACAACGAGCTAAAGCTCTTGGCGACATATGCCAAGTAAGTATCTACAACAGTCACCAAAGTAGCAGTGGAGATGAAGCTGCAACCCATTGTTTATTAAAAATTATTTGCTATTACTTAGCAAATTGTCAGAACTTTTAAAATCTTCTGGATATCTCCACAGTACATTTATTTACACATCTAGAGGTGTAGAATCTGTCGCTAAAATCAAAAATTTCCCTTTCTATGAACTCAATAAGTGATTCTTTTGAAAATTTATGAATGTTTCACAATAAGTGACTCAATTTTACATTCTCTTTCGAAATTATTCGACAATTATTTTTAATTTTGATTTTCATGCTAGTAAATAGATAGCTTGATTTTCTTAAAAAAATCGTTGATTTGTTTCTTTTTCCAATAGATGTGTTGTGTAAGAACAAAGCTAGCGAAACTAACATCTGCTCCATCTTGCAATTCTTGTTCGTTTGGTGTACAATACTTAGCTTTCAGTATCAGCCTTGATAAGCATCCGCTCACATAAATTGTTTTTTCATGAGTAGAAAACTGAACTTCGTTGTTTAACAGTCGAATAGGATTTGAACTGATGTAGTTTATGCCTACATAATAAAATTTCTCCGGAAAAGAGTCTACATTGAGGCATTTGTTATTTTTCAAAAACTTATCACATACTTACCTTCTCTTCCATTGTCAGAAAATGACACGAGAATTGTTTTTGCCCAAAGTTCAGCTCTCCGCACTCTTGAAAAACATCGGGAACTATGTATACACTCCTACAACCCTTCAATGAGACTGACGTATAGAGATCCATTTCACATCATTATATTGCCGAAACATTTAACACATGTTACTCATTACTTTGATAAATTTTAGCTAAATGATGACATTTCCCGAGCGATTACAATCGGTATCGATGAATGTTTTTTACCATTTCCAATACCAAATGTAGGGGATTGGGTTACCGTACATACGGAACAAGGTCAAACTGTTCAAGAATTCGAGCGAACAGTACGAACGGTGCCACATTCAAGGTAGGATTCTGTTAGAGAAACATTTGTTGAATACATCCTGCTGTTCTATCTATTTTAGTTATAGGACAATCTACGTACAACCCATTGGGTCGTTCGACCATCCAAGGTAAGAATATATTAAATTTTTCACATATTCAGAAAATTGAAGATGCGGGAGGTACCAATCCAATTCCGATGTTGGAATCTTGACTTCATGACATATAGAATGACCTTAAACAAGTTATTAATGGTCATTTGTCTCGGATTATGCATTCAACAACATATTCACGACGCGATTGACATACACAAAAGCCCTGATGGCTAATATGCGGTCAGTCAGCGTGTATGGAAAGCTGAAGTGATTAAGCGAGAGGAACTCTGAGTCAGGTCCGCTAGCGATAGTTGCAGGAAAATATTAGATCTTTAGACAGCACTCTATTCCGTAAGGTAACCGAAAGGCAGGATATTCTCCTTCTTCTTCTACTAGCATAAGAGAGGTAGAGATATAGAACTATTCTATGTCTCCTATATCTCATAAATCTCTCACATCCACATCCTTCTTCAACATTTCTGATTTTCTTGATATGTGACACTATTGATTCTTGGAAGACAAATAGGAGGCCGCTTTGAAACAGATCAATTAACCGACTATTGAGTTTCCTAATAATAGACATCATTAAAGCATCACATCGTATGAATTCTTCTAGAGCACCTTCATTGGAAACGATATGTGAATTTTCACGTCCATTTTTTCCTGGATGTCAAATAGAAATTTTACCTCGAATTGATTTTACTGATTTCTCAAAACATGGTCAAAATGGAATGCGTATCAATTCATACACAAAGCAACCACAATATTTGACATCTTTTATAATTGGTCATTTAAAAAAAATGAAACGACGAGAACGTAAACATGATCGTCAAGAATTATTTTGCATTGGCGTTACTATGGCTGATATTTATCCAGGATCAAACTGGAATTTTGTCTATGGTTTAGCATCTATTGACGATGGTATTGGAATATATTCATTTTCTCGATTAGATCCATTATTTCCAAACGCAGAAATGGCTGGTCCTTGCACAGATGAAGTACGAATATTAATACTTAAACGTTCTATAAGTGTTTTTGTCCACGAGGTCATACATTTATTTGGTGTCGAACATTGTATCTATTATTTATGTATGATGAACGGAACAGAAACTGAAGAAGAGATGGACGGACAACCATTGTATTTATGTCCAATATGTTTACGAAAAATGTATTCAGCAATTGGAAAAGAGAAGAAACATTTCAATGTTATACAAATGTATACGAAAATTTTAGAGCTTTGTAAAAGCCTTCATTTTAAAGATGAATCGGCATGGTATGAAAACAGATTGAATTTATTGAATACAACAGCGAACAATTAAATGTACATTGAGTTTTTAAAATTCGTATATATTTTCTAAGAAAAGAGTTATGAAAATTTAAATCGAGTGTTTGTTTTTGTAGATTCTCGTTCCTCCTTAAGTTTTAGCAATGAAAGGAGGAAGAGCAAACATTATTGAATACATTTTTCAAGTAACCGAAAAAGATATGCATCTAAATTCCTTAAAAGAAAGGGTCCTACTCATGATAGCTTACTAACTGATAAAATCCATGTGTATAGCAGGATAATATGATCGTTGAATCGACGAAATGAAAAAACTTATTTTTGCTGATTTTTATGGCATGCATTGTAGATATACCATCATCAGGAGAACAGAAACTATGCATTGAAGATGTATTTGATAATATCAATAAGCTTTCAGAGTATAGCAATATTAAATAAATCAAAAAAAAATTGTAAAGTAAGTATGAATAGGATTGTTTTCGAAACAATAAGATTTCAGAGCATGTCTATCGACTATAAAACATTATTATGATTTTGACTTATTTATTTCGCATTTTTTTAAGAATAGAGTATTTTGAAGAATCTGACAATATATCTTAAATCTATAACAGCTAGAGTTTATGAGTTCTATACTTTGATTGCACGGACAAGTTTTTTTTCAAACATTTAGCATTTTCGATATTATTTACTATCGATCTTTGCATTCTCGAGAAAAGTTAAGTTTATCGAATTAAAAGTGACTTCGATATGATTTGACTTCTTTCATTTTTGTTATTACTATTTCGATGTGAAATTATTTCACATCCATACAAGTGATACAAATTAAATATTTATAACAAGAGATTTATCAGAATTAAACTATACGAAGAGTAAATCGATACGTCTTTATGTATTTCTCATAGCGATTTTTGTTTATTTTATTGTATCTAATTCAAATTAATGCTGATGAAACAATGTAAAAAAACAATACAATAATTCATAATTGAAGAGTTCGTAGGACTTTGTCAATTTTAGAATCCATTCAGTATCAGGCTGTACCTTAGTTAAGGATATAAAAATATGAATATATGATCAGCTAGATGCTACTCAAGTTGGACTCTACTCTATTATGTCATATGGTACGAACTTTGAATCTTCGATTTCAAAAAACAAAAGATATCTCGTAATAGAAAAATAATATTTTTATGATTAATAGCAAATTATATTTTACTGGAATCAAACTTTATAGGTCTTCGTCATAAGTTATCCACTTGAAGAAGATCGATTTCATTGATCGAAAATTTAAAAATGAATAAATTCAAAAATCAAAAAAAAAGGAAGAGAACCCTTACATGAGTAATGCTCATAATCGCCCTCAATCATAAAGAAAAACAAGCTTTACATGTATAAAACTGGATTCAAGTTTCATTTGATTAATATAATCAAAAACACCGAAGATCTTGTTCACAAAACTTGATTGTGAATGAGATGTGAATCTTCTCTTGTTCCATACTCACCGTACAGTATTAAAATGTGAAACATGATACAGCTACTTGCTTTAGTCATCTTACGAGAGAAGAAATAGCCTTTTTCGAAATATTGGAATTCTTAATTAATTCGAAATCTCAGAATTCAAAAGTCCGAATATTCAAAAACCGATGGTACAAAAACTGTAATAGCATGTCGAGATGTCTATCATGATCTATGGAAAGGAGAGAGTTGCAACTTTCTTGTTATATAATTCATCATATATTCCAATTGTGTTTCATAAATGTGCTACTATTCTGTATTTTCATGATTTTATGTGGTATATTTTGACGAAAAATATTCTTTCTCCTCCTTGATCATCAGTTTCTTGCATGAAACTGATAGTTTTTTCTGTCTAGTGATGGATAGATCTATTAGAATAAACAAACAAAATGTTCGAAAATTAATTCCATCTTTGAATGTTATAAGGATTTCTCTACTGACCATGGGGATACATGATTTCATATTATTGACCACAGAATTTATAGGAGTTTTTTTAATGTCAAGACCAAATAAAAATCTCATTCAAATCTTAAAACTAATCTTCAATAAAATCGATATAAGTAAAGTAATTTGTAAAAAAACAAGTATATTAAACGAATAAATAAATAAAAATAAAATATTTCTGTGAATAGAAAAAGCATGGAGTTATGATTAGGGTTTACCATTTATATTTTCTACTGATTTCTGTTTCTCATTATCCTCATTGATTGTTAATATTTGCGCAGCAGGTTCATCATCATCATCGTCATATTTATTCTTTGACTTATTGTCGGATAGTAAACCACTGAAAAATGAGAATGCAAGTCAACCAAAATAAAACTGTTCAATAGATCGCTTACAATGCGAGACCCATTCGATGGACTTCTTCGGATGTTTGTGGTAATGGACGATTTAATGTTTCAGGAAATGTTATAGCCAAACCGGCAGCAATAAGTGAAATGACTCCGTAAAGTACAATAGGAAAATTACTCCAAATACGTGTCTAAAATAAGTATTACATCGACAATCGCTAAAAATACATAGAAGTACTGTTTCGTAACTGAATTTCTCCTTTGTTTTTTATGTCTAGAAAATACTTATTGTAGAATTAATTGAACGAATTGGTCATTGTTCTACAAAGATATTCCTCAATTGCGATTTTTTTAAATACTACTATTTCAACTCAAATCATTGGTCGAGAATTAAAATTAACCTTTGGGAGAGAGAATAATACAAAATACTCACTAGATAATCATTGCAAAATGTTCCCATAATGGCTCCTAATCGACCGATCATGGACGAATATCCCATTCCTGTTGTTCGTGTATTTGTCGGTAGAAGTTCCGTAGTAAGTATATAGATAATAAGAAAAGTAAGAGAACCACAAAATTTCAACAATATATTGATTATAAACACTATTATACGTTGAGCTAAAAATGAAAATTCTCAATTAGAATATTTTAATGATTACAGAACTAAACTAATATTCGGTAAGTCTCACATAGGAAAAACATAAATTGTTTTCAATAGTCACATCAATATAAATGAGAAACCTACCATCTTTATAAGCACCCATGTATGTTTGAACAGGTAGAACGAGCATTGCAATAATCCCGAAAGACGCAGCAAATGAACAGTATGGTATTTTTCGTCCTACTCGATCGAGTATGAGTTGAATGAACATAAAGGCTGGTAGTTCCACCGCTGCACTGATACAAAATGATAGATACGGATCGACTTGCCAGGATCCTTTAACATATAGAATGTATAATGATTGCCTCAACTTATGCACAAACTGAATAGAATTACCTGTACTCTGTGAAACTCCATAATAGACGATATTTTGAGCGAACCTATGTAGAATTAGATTTGAAGAATAATATCTGAATGACTTGTCCAATAGAGACTGACCATTGAAAAAAGAGATTTAGAGTAATAAAAGCTGTAATTTTGAATCGAAATAGACTTGAAATACCAGCATGAGGCACTGTTCCATGACGATCCTAAAATGACAAGTCTCATTATTTTTTTTTTACTATATAAATGACTGACATGACTTTTTGTTATTTTACTCACTCTATTTTGTGTTGCTTTAAATTGTTCATAAGCTTCATGACTAAATTTTTGTTTATTTTCTATCGCAATAGTTCGTAGAACCTTTTCCGCTTCACTGAATCGTCCTTTACTAATTAACCATCGAGGGCTTTCAGGTAAAAAACTACAATGATCAATTCAAATTTGTTCTTCTATTGGATAAAACAAAACCTATTCAAATAATAGATACATACAGATAAAACAAACAATAGGGTAACATCAGAAATGATGTAGTTAATAGTAACATTCTCCATGTTCGAATGAAATAAGCAAAAAGTACAAGCCATAATTGACCAAAAGCATAGAAATAAGTCATTACTGCACCGGCCATAACACGTTTTCTTGGACTAACTTAAATACATCGATAATGAATTCAGATTAAATTTATCAAAGTGAACAATAAAAAAAAGAGAAAGAAACATACCTAATTCTGAACTTAGGACAAATCCTGATTCACTAATACCACGTGTTGAACAAGCGAGTAAAAACCGTGCTATGAGAAAAAATAAATGAGAATATCCCGTACCGAATACATCTTGTGGACAAAAAGTTGAAATAAAAGATACGATAGCCAATATTACAAAGCAGATACTCATGATCGGTCGACGACCAAACCTTTAAATCGGTAGAATATTCAATGAAATAGAAAGATAACATATTAAAAATTGCAGACTTATCGGCCATGCTACCGAAAAAAACTGCACCGACCATGACACCAATAAAATAGGCAACTTGAACAGCTGTACGATAAAGAACTCGATCACAAACCATAGTCCACTTAAAAGAAAATTATCGTTTGTATGTATTATAACATAGATATATCCCATCGAAATACCTCTTCAACTAATGTCTTCTTATAGATCGATCGATCGAATACATAATCTTGACACTTATGAAGTTTACTAATAGACGTTGTATTATGTGTAGCAATTCTTATGAAACATCGTTGACATTCTTTTAATGACAGTAATTTTTGATGCGTAGCACAATCGTCTATTGTTGGTTTATATGTTGTATCATAGAGGTGATTCATTTGAGAATTATACGCATCAGATTCCAATGGAAGACTACATCGAAAATCCGGTGTTGCTGCAGTAAATGACCATGTATAAAATATAAGTGGTGGCACCATATTAGCGAGACAAATAATGAAAAATTTTATTTTTTGATAATAACCCCAATCATTTACCGTTGCATAAAATGTATCAAATTTCATCTTGTATTCTTGAAAAAGACAGAAAATAGAGCTTTCAGCTTAATTCCGGCGAGATTAAAATGTGAAACACAACGGGGTTGTTTCATATGGACAAGACGAAACCAAAAATACCGAACGGCAAGAGAGAAAAAGCTATTTTTTGGCTCCAGGATTGCTATTAAAAAATTCTGAAACTCTTAAAAGTCTATCACTCTAAGATCCACATAAATATAATATCATGGTTCGAAAATCCCATATTCTGTGGTTAATAAATCCACAGTATCATGATCTGAAAGTTCAAAATCAGTCAACTACGTGGTCCAAAAAGCCATAACACAGAATTTGGACATGTCTATCACAGTCCGTGAGGGAGAGGGTACAACTTTCTCGTTCTAAACCTTCAACACTTTTCGAACGTGTTTCACAAAAAATTATTCGACTAGTTGCACTCTTCTATTGTTGATTGTTTATAGAACGATGGTTATCTTATTTGAAGAATAATGCAAACCAAATAGATAACAACATGATGAAATTGAGAGAAGCACGATATATATATATACAATGTTGACTTGTTGCAAAACAGTTCTTATCTCTTCTATAAAAGAAACTATGAAGTGTAGTATCGTTATCGTTCTTTCATTTACTACCATAATAGAAAAAGAAGTAAACAAATGTAACTCAAAAAAAGAACGGTGATATTTGTCTATGTGCTCGTTGTGTTATATTAGAAGCAACTCGACTACGAAAAAAAGAAAAAAAATGTCCTCCAAAACAAGACCTTCTGTTTATGGTAGATCGTCATTGAATGAATGATTGTTTATTTCTTATAAAGCATCTTATTTGGTTTATAAAACTTGTTTCTTGATCTTTCAAATCATATGTTGAATAGAATGATGACTACTTTCATTTCATTTTTTGCCGATCACATTCGACGAAAAAGAGAGAGATTGTTCATCAATGCCATTGACAGAAAGGGTGACCACTGTGTATGTTCTATGTATGACCAGACAATCAGTCCTGATAGAATCATTGCATTCTACTAACCATGGCTTCTCTCTTTCTGATTGCTCTCGAAGTGACGTTGTGTCTCGTCTCCCTGCAATAGTGTCTGATCGATCTCAATGATTCACCACTGTGTTACAAAGATCTTCAAAGTCATTTCACAATGTTTCACTGTCTCATCATCGATATTTGAACCTTGGTGTAGTAACGAGTGTGGATGTGAATGATGACAAGAAGACATCCATATGCACACTCATACCCTGATTTTAATAACAAAGTTATGACTTTAATTGATGGAATAAGTACAATGTATTAAAGTGAACAACAACGAAGTTTTGTAAATAATTTCTTTTAAAAAAAAAAGAAGAAAAAGTTCATCTTTTTTCGTTTGACAAGAAATATCTATCAATAACAAGAGGATATAATAGATAGAAAATACATCTTTGTCCTTTCTCTCTAATATAGTCAAAGAGAAATTGAAAGACAGGAGAGAAAAGCTGAAATGTTCTCAAAATATTGACAAAGTCAAATTCACTATTTTACCCTACGAAAGCACATTTAACTATCTCTGAAACAATTTGTTATTTTATTTAGCAATAACAACTACAATACACTATTTATTTATATGAAAGAATTTTAAAAAGACAAAGAATTTTTGTATTCATTTACAGATGATATTTCTTTTTTTTTCTCTCGATCAAAAACAATAATTCGATCGATTAATTCTTCTTCATTTTCATGAATTTTAATTTCTTTGGACAATAAATTTGTTTGTATAAGAGTTAATAATGTTTTTTCACCTTGTGTTGGTTTACCAGTTAAACTATGATAGAAATCTTGTACATAGTTTTTAATTGGATATCGTGATTCATAAATAGAAATAATTGGTGCATGATATTTTTCAAATAATTGATTTAATTGTTGTGTATGAACTAAAAAACGATGATCGAGTGCTGTTAAATATTGAGTTTTCATTGATAAATATTGTTCTTTTAATGGTTTTTCAATTATATTTAATGGATAAATTAAATTAATACATCGTTGACAACAAATATATTTAATAAAAATTTCTAAATGATGATCCCAATATGAAAATGAACGAAATGAACGTGGAAGAAAAGACCATGACTGTAATATAATTGGTAATTTATTTGGATTTGTTTTTTGAAAATATTTAATAATTATAATAAAAATAATCAGAAGAAAAATACATAGAAGAAATATACTTGCAACTATCCAATGTATTAAAGCAAGAATTAAAAGAATTAATGGAAAAAGAAAAAATATTAATGTTATATAAACTAAAGCAAACCAACGATATTCAGATACAATATAACCAATTTGACGACTTAAATAAATTGGAATACGATGAAAATATGGAAGAATATACCAAAGTATACAACCCGATAGATTAAATAAAAAATGAGTTAATGCTATTTGCATAGATTGACGAAAAAATAGACCAGTTTGAGTAAGAGAAGCAAAACATGCTGTTATTGTTGTACCAATATTAGCACCAATTGTTAATTCATAATTACGTTCAAGTGAAAGTACTTGAAGACCAACTAATGGTGTTAATATTGAACAAAAAACACCTAAAAAATTACGTTATCAATTTAATGACAATGATTCCATTCAGTCAAGGTAGAATGATTATATTAGGCAAATTTTTATCATCGTATTGTTCAGAAAAACTATTCATAAACGAAGTCCGGAAAGAGGTAGATACAGTTGAACGTCCGAACTCTTTCATCATAATTTTTGTTTCACAGTCTTTAAGCATTTTTCAAGTTAAGAACTATTTCAAAAAAGTCAATTTCGAAATTTATATACATGGGATTCAAGCTGGCATAATTGTTTTTTTTGTCAACAGAAGAAGTTTAGTTTTTTCGGGAAATGTCGTAGCTAAAGAATATGAACTTGTATTGTATGAAGAACAGAGTCCTCACCTTCACTCATATCTACGTATAAAGAATCATGACCACAACTTTGGCATGATATGTATTATTTAGACAATGAGTCATCTTTTGATTGAGTGTGTTTATATAGCATCTGCAGTTCTCCAACTATTATACTCTTAGTCATGAATTAATGATTTCAATTTACATCAAACAAATGTTTCTTTTTCGATTCGTTCATATTGATACGAACTAAGTTTGAAATAACAGTGAACTCGATAAACAAGCTCTTTCTAAAAAATCCTACACAAACTGATCGTCTAGAGAAACAGGAATCAGTCAAAAAACGTGTTTTTGATGAGACATGTTTTATGGATGATCCTTAAGTCCTTCAATTTTTGATTAAATTTTACACATTATTGTTTATTAAATATTTGTGTCGATGTTAAGGCATAGTCAAAATGAGCAAGATTTTTAATATTTAATACAATTTTATGATGCAATTTTAGTTGCTATTATTAAAGAAAAAAAATACTAATGGATGATGCATAATAAATCGGACAAAATATTTTTCTCTTTTCATCGTATTTCCTAACATATTAGAGACTTTGTTTTTTTAAATACCTTCTTTTTATTAGCGTAAAATTTAGAAAATGACCATCTACTCAATCGTCTAATTACGATGATCAACAAACACGAAAACGTTTTCATAAAGATTTTGCTAAAAATTTTGTATCATAAGAACTTGTTTAATTTGTCGTAACGAAAATATCAACAGATCACATTTTCAATGCAACACCTGGAAAGCATAAACAATTAGTCATTGTATCTTTCAACTTTATTGCAGACTGAATACCATTAAGGTTTTGTTTTCTTCTATCTCAATCTATCGATTTAACTTTCAATTTCTCAGATATTTAATTCGATAAATATTCATTGAAATACGTACTACTACTTTGAACAAGTATTGCTCCAATAATACCAACAATAATAAAAACATAACCAAGTAAACATTCTTTCCATCCATGAGATTGAATATGAAGAATTTTTTTTAATGTATCATCAATAATACCAATAATTATTGATTTTAATAATTTAACCATAAATAAAAGTATTCCAGTAAGAATTATAAGAGAACATATAAATAAAATTATTCCAACAATATTATCACCAAATTTTTCAATCATTGATCGAAATAAATATTTACATTTAATTGTTTCATTATAACAATAAATTTTACCAATTGTTTGTTGTGTTTTATTACTTGTTATAATAGTTTCATTAATTTGTATTATTAATTTCGTTAAAGGTTTTGTAATTACTTTAAATAATTGAATATTTATTCCTTGTTTTTCAGGAATCATTGCAGCAATAGCCCCGCTTACACGAGCTAAATAACCACCACCTAGTACAGAAAAAAAAATTAAATTATTTGTAATCAAATAGGAAAATTTTACGATGAAAAATATCTGACATTGTCGTTATACGATCAATAAAAATTTCAATAGGTAGAAGAATAAGTGTTGTTAAATAATTAAATACATCCATGAGTATACCTGATGAAAAACTACGAGAAAATTCATTTCGATTTCCTATTTGACTAAATGCAACAAGAGTATTTGTTATTGATGTTCCTGTATAAAAATAGATAGAAAGAAAATTTTTTTTTTAATTTAAATTATTCAATTATTTTAACATGAACTAGTTTAAACTATCACGTACATTCAATTGGCCTACCTATATTTGCTCCTAAATAATAAACAAAAAGAAAAATATAAGATTAGTCAATAAATACATCAAAATTAGGCTTATCACCAATCATTTGAAGTTAAATTTTAAATATTTTAATCATCAGTCATTAAAATTTATGATTATTATGTCATAGACCAATGTCCAACTCGAGTCGGATCACGAAAAAAGTTTTTGGATTTCGGGATGAATCTTCAATCTAAACATTTGACATATGTTCAAAAGGTATTTTAAATATTTCCTCTTATTAAAAAGTTCTACAAGAAAAAAGTTCTATCACATAATCGTGTTATTCCAACTGCGAAATATCAATGACGAAAACAGGTCAAGGACATATCCTTCGCTTCCAACTACGAAGCGAAAGGAAGAAAA